TCAATTTTAATTCAATTCTATATTTTATTTTAGTGTGCTGTATCAACAACTTCAGAAAACTAAAAAAGTTAGCAAACCTTGGCCCCGCGTAGACAAACGAGGTATTAATTGTTACATCTTGAACACCGTCACATCAGAAACTTCTTCTTCCTGTAAAATCTCAAATACGATGTCGTCCTAGTATTAAGTTTACGTAATATCTATGCGTCGTGAAGCAGTTTATCAGCAACAGAAACTGCCTAAAGGCACCTCTCCATCATGCTGACGTAAAATGTCTGTCCATACAGATCGTTCGGTTGCGGGAGGTGGGGTCATGATCAGCCTAAAGGCGATTCGCTTTGAGTGGCGTCCCTACGGTCCCAATTAACGATGGAAAACGAGGACCTCCTGTATTCCTAAACGTTCACTTTGGGTTCTCATCCTTATGACTGTATCCTTAGTCACAGCAAAGAGTGGCACTAATTTCCTTAGGTAGTGATTCGTGTCGCCTGGAAGGTGAATACGCGTGTGTTAATGAAAAGTGAAACATTTGACATACAAGCAGCAAGTTGAAAAAGTGTTGTTTAATGTCTGATTTCTATTTGACCCGTTTTATTGATGACTATAAATGTGAAAGTGATATTAAACAAGTTATAAAATCCATGCATTGCTAACAATTACGGCGCAGTCAGAAGTATTTGACGTCCCTCAGATGAAATACTGAAGAATTCTGTTCATAACTTGGTACGCGTGAAAATATAAAACAACAATAACATAAATTTATTATTTACTTTTATTTTTTAATTATTACGTCATTTGCGACGAATTTTTGCATCTTGTGTCCTGAATATTTCTGTCTTCTGGGTTGTCGCCCTGATGACGGAGGCAGTATGACCTCTGAAACGTTGGGAAAAATCGACCAGACTACACAACAACCCAGAAGACAGAAATCGTCATACTCATCGCCCTGATGATGGCGGCAGTATGACCTCTGAAACGTTGGGAAAAATCGACCAGACTACACAACAACCCAGAAGACAGAAATCGTCATACTCATCGCCCTGATGATGGCGGCAGTATGACCTCTGAAACGTTGGGAAAAATCGACCAGACTACACAACAACCCAGAAGACAGAAATCGTCATACTCATCGCCCTGATGATGGCGGCAGTATGACCTCTGAAACGTTGGGAAAAATCGACCAGACTACACAACAACCCAGAAGACAGAAATCGTCATACTCATCGCCCTGATGATGGCGGCAGTATGACCTCTGAAACGTTGGGAAAAATCGACCAGACTACACAACAACCCAGAAGACAGAAATCGTCATACTCATCGCCCTGATGATGGCGGCAGTATGACCTCTGAAACGTTGGGAAAAATCGACCAGACTACACAACAACCCAGAAGACAGAAATCGTCATACTCATCGCCCTGATGATGGCGGCAGTATGACCTCTGAAACGTTGGGAAAAATCGACCAGACTACACAACAACCCAGAAGACAGAAATCGTCATACTCATCGCCCTGATGATGGCGGCAGTATGACCTCTGAAACGTTGGGAAAAATCGACCAGACTACACAACAACCCAGAAGACAGAAATCGTCATACTCATCGCCCTGATGATGGCGGCAGTATGACCTCTGAAACGTTGGGAAAAATCGACCAGACTACACAACAACCCAGAAGACAGAAATCGTCATACTCATCGCCCTGATGATGGCGGCAGTATGACCTCTGAAACGTTGGGAAAAATCGACCAGACTACACAACAACCCAGAAGACAGAAATCGTCATACTCATCGCCCTGATGATGGCGGCAGTATGACCTCTGAAACGTTGGGAAAAATCGACCAGACTACACAACAACCCAGAAGACAGAAATCTTCATACTCACCGCTGTGGAAACCTCAAATCTTACATTCTTGTGTCCTCTCTGTGGTTAGGAATATTTTTAAGATCAACGCGCAGGCAGTGAACGACGTTTTCCTCCATGACATACGCACGAGGCTGCTTTGCAGTACCAGTGATAGAGCCAAAGCAAAAGTGCGTCTTTATGTCTTTTCTTCACGTTTTTACATGAAAATTGCATGTGTGTTAAAATATCTTCGTACAAATTTCAAAATCTTACGTAGGTAACAAGAAACCTTTTTGGTGTTCCTGGTAGCAGAAATTTAACAGATATGTATTCGCAATGACGTCCAAACCCCTTCATCAGAATTTCATAAAAATCTACAAAAGGCATCTGTCGGTTTATTGTTAGTATCCATACAAATTGCTTGGAAGGAAGTGTCTTGTCACACCTCTCTGACGTGTTCAAGAGGTCACGGACACATTACGTCTGTTCATAAAACGAGAAACATTGTCGTGACGCCGTGTAACGGAAACAAATAAGTCTAATCGTAAACTTTAACTAAGAAGAAAACGCACTGAGAAAATTGCTGTGATGGCATCACATAGGAGGGCCGATGTCGAGACAAATCATGAAATCGTAGAACAGGTGCTTTCATGAATTTGCCTGTTACAAACTCACCAGAGTTCGTTAATCGCAATGCTAAGACGTACACGCCATTTCTCATGGAAAGGCCACTTGTCCTATTAATGAAGGGGCCAATCACGCACAGTCGTTGACCTGTCTTTTTGGTCCGGGCTTTTGGATCCTTCTCGGAGTCTCAGCAGAGATAACCGCGGTGGGTGATCTTTGAAATATTGATGGCAATCGTCCGGTCTCCTAGCCAGTACTCGTTCTGTTGATATAAATGTTCAGGTACGTGACGAGAAGCGGTACTTTCCGGGATTCCGCGATCACAAACTCGGCGCCGTGGGAAGGCGAAGGTCGTTACTTGCTTGTAGTCTGGTTTGAAGGACGAACGTACGACAGCGAAGATGTGAAGATGTTATGTTCAATCGTTAAGGTGGGAAGTTTAAGATACGAAGCTTGTTAAGGAGGCGTTTGAACCACAAGATGTAGAAGGCTGTGACGACATCTAGGAAAGCCGGTGAACATCCTCTGGTAAAGGTTTATGTTGACATTTTCAACATGGCGAGCCACCTGCAGTGTCGTTCTAAGCCTCGGTCAGAACGTTCTCGAAGACCTTGCCAACAATGTCAAATAGACTAAGAAGGAAACGCGGTGTCCTTTCCCGGTACCTCAGTCATCGTCGCCCTGATGATGGGAGCAGCAAGGGTCTCTGAAACGTCGTTGAACTTCTACCAGACTACGCGACGTAACATCCCAGAAGACAGACGTCTTCTTTGTCGACCCCGTGAGAACCTGAAATCGCCTTTAAAATCGAAACCTTCCGTGGTACGAATATTGTCTTCAGCGATGTTCAAGTGTGGAGAATGTTCGTTGAGAGGTACGCGATATTTTAGCCGTTTTTAATTCATCGGGATTGACGGAATTTTTATATGAAATCAGTGACTGCGGTTGAGGTGGAACACGGGAAAGTTCGAATACCTGACAAATTTGTAGAGCATTAAAGCGAAAATGACGGTCGCCATTGATATCGCAATAGAAACAAATGATTGGTCTGTGTGAGTACCATCACGTGACGAAAGTGCGTACTGTCGGAGCACGAAATACCGTACAGACTACAGCAGTGGTATTCAACCTTTTTTGTTCGCGTACCCCCAGATATAATTTCTCTTTAACTTTGTACCCCCAAAGTTGTTGGTGTATAATTCAAGTTATACATAGTATATAATCTACATCTAAAATAAATTAAATAAATTACATTACTGATTATTCAGTGATTATCATAAAATAATATTATTTTTTTAAAATTTCACGTACCCCCTAAGATGTCTTCGCGTACCCCAGGTTGAATACCACTGGACTACAGTATATCAAATATGCTTTAGACAATGGGCTGTATGCAACATAATAATACTGGTATAACTAAGTATGTGTTGATGTCTCGCACCAGAAGGCAGGGCTAAGTCGTAATACAAAGATAGCTTTTGGATCCATTGAAAATGTGGCATCAGTAAGAAATCAAGATCTTATCCATGAGGAAATTAAGAGCTAATTAAATTTGGGTAAAGCTTGCTACCAATCTCTTCAGAACATTTTGTATTTCTTGTGCTGTCTAAAAACTTAAAGATTAAAATATACAAAACTACAATTTCGCTTGTAGTTTTGTATTAGTGTGAAACTTGGTCTCTGATGTTAAGAGAAGAACGTAGACTGATTTTGTTTCAAAACAGGGTGTTGAGGAGAATATTTGCATCCAAGAGGGATGAAATCCTAAGAGGCTGAAGAAATTTGCATAATGAGAAGTTTCATAAGTTGTAATCCTCGCCAAATATAATTAGACTGATCAAGTCAAGAAGGATTAGATGGGCAGGGCATGCAGCTAGCATGGGAGAGAAGAGGAATGCATACAGAGATTTTGTGGGCAAACCAGAAGAAAGGATATCACTAGGAACACGTATGTGAGAGGATAATATTAAAAAGGATGTTAGATAAATAGGGCGGGGTTGTATGGATTGAATTCATCTGGCTCAGGATAGGGACCAGTGGTTGGCTGTTGTGAACACTGTGATGTACCTTTGGGTTTCATAAAATGTTGGGAATTTCTTGTGTGGCTGAGCGGCCGTTGGCTTCTGAGGAAGGACTCGGCTTCATGCAGCAAGAAAGGCAGTAAGTACGAATGGACCACTGTCTCAGATCTCTGGAGATTAATCATCAGCCGCGGCTGGGCTGGGCGTCGGTTTTATAAGTGGGCTCCCAGCTTTATACGAACTGTTCCCCAGCAAATGCTCTGCACCATGGAATATGGCGACCTTCCTGCTGGTCATTGTGCAGGGCGTGCAGCAACGCGACTCGACAGGAAACACTTCCGGTCGACAAAGCACTCGAGCGGATACAATGCCTCAGTTGTCGCTGGCGTGTGGCGTGTAGCGGACCGCTCTGCTGTGCACACAGCATCTGGACCATGGAAAAGTGAACCCAAAGTTGGTTGAAAGAGCAGGAAGCTAACGTTCAACTTCCCTCTCGATTCATGAAACATGGCTTGAGGCTTAGAAAATCGGAAGTATCGAAGATGTGACAGATTCCTCAGCATGCCGAAGGATTGCCTGGCGCTAGTGTTCCGCAGGGCCGGAGCCTGGAGCCCGTCCAACAAGAAGAGGACGCGGCTCGGATTTTGTTGGCGATGGTGGCGAAGCGGACATGCGACGCCTACAGGACACCGCGACAAGGCCATGCTGCCATCTGGTGGCTCGTCGTCCCTCAAAGTACAGAACTTCAGGTGAGACCGTCACGGTCCGTTGGAAAACGAGCACAGTCGTTACCATCGTGACCAAGGCGATGAGTTTGTTCCTGAACGTTCTGATTTTTCGCGGTTCCTTCAGACCGCATTACGATTGTCACCAAGAGGCCTGGCCGGCTTCATCTGACTCAAGATAGGGATGACCGGAGGGTTTTTGTGAACACGATAAGTGGCCTTAGACTTTTTTGAAGGCAGGAAGTTTCTTGACAAACTGGGTCGCAGTTAGTTTTTGAAGGCGGAATCAGCTCCACCGATTTTCTCATACTAAGCTTGACAGATTAGCAAACCTAACCTCAAATCTTACAAACCTAACCTAATCCAACACAAGTGCTAGAGAGATGAAGGAAGAATCCTGAAAAACCCTAACACAGCACTGATGCTTAAATGAACGAGTTTAGGAAAGGAATTTACTTATCAGTTGATGTTCTCTTGTAGATTTGTGTAGGCTTACTTCCGAAATCTGAACACGACAATAACGCAGTTACGAATTATTACAAAATATATATTATTACTCTGAGGGAAGATTATAGACTTGCGAGGTGGCTTATTAACGAAGGAAAATATTCTGCCCTGTGACGAATCTCTATAAACTGTTTACATTATTTTCGTAGTAGTCCCCATTAGTAAAACAAGAAAAGTGGACTTAAATCTGGTGAGTAAGGGTTTAAGATATTTACCAGATGCAAAACTGATACTAATACGACATGATAAAATCGATTTTAAGACGCTATCGAATGTCAGATGAGCCCACATTTTAGAATTTTTAAAATCTTGGAAACACGGTAAATTGCCATCACAGTTAAATTCGTTGTGGGGTTATGAACTGCGTGATTGAACCGTTTGCTTCCGGTTGGGTCAGATGTTCATATTTGTAGGGAATTTAATAAAGTTTAGAGTTCACAATAAGATCAACTTAACATCTAGATCTTAATCAGTTGATGTGCATGTCGGAATTTTGGGCGAACCCCCAGAGCGAGCCGATCTGTCTAGATCCGTCCAGTGAAAATCAGTCTAACATCGCGAACGACAGGAATCTTTCCGATGGCAGTTGTGAATTTTTGGCTATTGTTTTGTTTTTGTTTTAAAGCGCGTAATTAGGAAGGTTAGAACAAATTGAGAGGAGGGATGCGGGCCTGTAAGTGAACGGAATACGTCAGCTTCTGTATTTAACCTATTGGGCGAAAAAACAAATACTGTAAGAAAAGACGCAGAAACTGTGTTGGACCCTTTTAAGAAAGCTGGTCTAGAAGTGAAGGCAGGCGAGACTAAGTAGGCTTAGATGTTCACGTCTAATCACCAGGAAGCAGGACATCATTATATGAAGATACCATACGCTCAAGAAATATGGAAAATTTAAAATATTTCAAAACTACATTCACAAATAAATTTGAAACATTGAATTCTACCACTCAGTTCATAAAATTGTTTATCTCCTATCTAAAAAGTTGTAATTAGAACACGGTATAAATTACTATAATTTTACCTTTTGTTTTGTATGGGTGTAGAACATAATTTCTCACTCTTGTTCTGATCAGAATATTCGGGGCACAAGAGAGAAAAGTTACAACGAGGCTTAAGAAAACCGCATAATTAGCAGTTTTGTAAGTTACACCCTTCATAAAATAATATTTTAATGACAGGACATGCAATGGACGGGACATTCTCGACGAACAGAAGAGATGAAAAATGTATGCAAATTGTTAGTAGATAAACCTGAACGAAAGAGATCACTTGGAATACTTGGACATATTATTATTATTATTATTTAGTGTTCTGTCTGACGACAGGTCCATATGAACAGGATCCTTCCATCCTTTTCTCGGACTGGGACCTGTTCATATACGTTCTTGGCAGATGATCCAGAAGTGGTTTGCCATTGCCTTCTTCTGTGTGTGAATGGAGTAATTGTTGGGATGCCACGGAGAAACCGGGGAAGCCCCCGGAGGAAAACTCCGTGTTGCCTAGACCACGGCCTTGCCCAACACAAGTTATAAATTCGGGCACCGCCGGGAATTGAACCCGGGACCCCAGGATTATAAGGCCAGCGTTCTAATCCATAGACCACCGTGGCAGACTGTGGCATATGTGGCAGAATAATATTAAAGCGGTGGATGTGGATTGGATTAATCTGACTCAGGGTACAGATCGTTGATGGGATTTTTGAAAACTCTAATGCATATTTGAGTTATATAGAATGCAGAAAATTTGGCCAGAACAAAATCTGAGTAACTTTTGACATCTCGAGGACTTGGCTCCGTTGAACCAGCCGTCAAATGTAAATTGTTTGTTTTGCCGCCAAAGCGTCAAAAAGAGGAGGATATTCTAATAGCACCGTGTAGTAGGTAATATGAGAGAAACGTCAGTTTTTCTTGTATCTGTGAAATTGTGGGGTTTTATGGATTGGTTTGCGCACGGTTGGAGGCTCTGACAAAGTGTTACGACTGTGGTGGAATAAGAACTGATATTTTCCTTCTCCAATTTTTTTTTTAGAAATATGTACTGAAAAGTGTTTATTTTATTAAAAGTGAGGTTCGTTTTGTTTTCATCGCGCGTGTATTCAACTTGATGAACAAAGACATTTTTCTCTAAGAAATTAAGAATTTACACTGGACATGAGGCTTACTGTAAGACTTGCCTTTAGCTACAAATTCGTGGTTGATTCAAGATCAGTTTCTGAAGATGGCAGTACCACGAATATCACGGGTAACGTTCACAGTTTGTCACAGGGTATTAGCTCTGATGATTGCAATAAGAATTTTAATTAACACTTCTTTCGTGATTAATGATATTAATTAGTATATATTTAATCTTGTCCGTCTAATCACAGTAATTCTTATTAAATATTAAAATATTACAATAATTAACATTTAAAATATTTAAAATATTAAATGATGTTCTTTATCGAAATATTCGATTTACATTAGACCATCATTTTTCATGTTTCACGACGTTTAAAAAAAATGATGGTCTAATGTAAACATCTTATGATATTAATTAGATTAAAATTAATGTTGCCTGTTTCAAAGAGCATCAAATATTGCATAGTGACTTCACCGTCATGAATGCGTGAAATGAGACTACACAGTGACTTCCTCCAACCGTCGTGTGTTCCAGACTGAAATTCGGCCCTGAGGTTCTGACAAGAGTTTTAGCAGATATTTAAATCTGCTTCTTATCCTAACGGAGTAAGAATTCTGCGTCAAGCAGCCGTAGAATTCTGGTCTGTCATTGTTCGTGGTCCTTGGAATTCCTTGCAAAAACTCTTGAAATAAGACTTGATTTTTGAAATCCAAAATACGTAATAATATTGCAGTTTGCATGGAAACAGAGGGTTTGCAGTTGGCAAAAACATAGGAATGAGAGTTTTTAAATGCCTATCGTCACTCCAGAGAGCGTTCGCCTGGTTGGCTCTACTAATCCACATATTCACTTCCCTGGACACATAAGTTCTGGATCTGCTTACGCAGTAGGCTCTGAATTTAAGCAATTCGCAATTGTCTTTCAGATTAATGGTTGTATTACTCTCGTATTTATCTCTAGTCTTAATGCTCGATACATGAAACTGGTCAGTGTTTCAACATCCCCCACAGACGAGTTTCAGGAAGTTGACTGTTACCAATGTTCCGGCGTTTGGTATGGATAAAATGCCACAAAGTTTAGATTATTCCAGTTTTACGTTTGTTAATTAACTTTTTATTTGTTTGATGAAGTGATCTGCACTCAGTCTTTAAGACTGTAAATAGTGTTTCGATTTTAGTGTATTTCAGGTCTAGTGATGATTTGTGTATCATTTCTCTGAAGAAAGTAAATCAGTGCCTGTCAGGCCATTTTTTTTTCTTCGAAGTTTGTATCTAGCACTCTGGAGGTCGTGTATTTACGAGTGGACTTAGCAAACTGAAGAGTTGTGGTGGAGAGAGTGTTGACAGGTTCCTGTGTCCGCCTTTCGCTCTCGCCTCTCGGTTTTCGAGGAGTCCAGCAAACGACGGGCACTCATCGCCTAAACCTCGACGGACCATAAGGAAGTTACGCTCCAGCCTGTGCGCCTGAGGTCCTTCTCAATGTTTGTTGTTTCTGTCTGCCTCTCGCTTTCACAAACGATCTCTTTGTGAGCTGAGTCGTTTTCGTGCCACAGTTTGTCGTCTCGTCGATGGGGGCAAGGTAGAAACTGCCTGTTACTTTGTCGTTGTGAATTCCAAATATTAATCCTCATCAGTGTCTTTTTTCCCCTGAGAGTCGGAGGTCAAGTTTACCTATTTACATACATACACCTAGCCGCTGAGTGGTTGAGACCTCGGGTTGAAATCTAAATCCGGATACCGGCTATCCCGAAGCAGGGATTTCGTAGTTTTCCTCAGTCCCTTCAGGCAAATGCCAGGATAGTACGTGTAGTTAGGCCACGATCGCTTCCTTTATTATTATTATTATTATTCGACTTCATTTGTCACTGATCCTCATGTCATTTGACTTTATTTAGTCTGAGCTATTGATAAACGTTGTAAAATAAATAACATCATGGGTGTACAGGTCAATGTTTTAATGTTTACTTCGTTAGAAAATCCGTGCCTCTAGAGCAGTGGTATTCAACCTTTTTTGTTCGCGTACCCCCAGATATAATTTCTCTTCAACTTTTTACCCCCAAAGTTGTTGGTGTATAATTCAAGTTATACATAGTATATAATCTACATCTAAAATAAATTAAATAAATTACATTACTCATTATTCAGTGTTTATCATAAAATAATATATATTTTTTTAAAATTTCACGTACCCCCTAAGATGTCTTCGCGTACCCCCGGGGGTACGTGTACCCCAGGTTGAATATCACTGGTCTAGAAGAATACGAGGCCTTTAAAATTTTGTTTTACTTTTTCGAAAAAACATAAAGGCTTACGTGTTCTGATTTTCATAGCCGCAGTCAGAATTCAACAATTTACGTTACGCTCTGGATGTGCGGACACGCATTCTGTCTTTGCGTGTCC